AAGCTTCTGTACGTTCCCGTTCATCATATTTTATCTTTCACTTAATAGCACAGGGCATGTTTAGAGCTGCTTCAGCAGCATTTTTTTTCTACTGGCCCAGTTGGGTCAGTGGTTCGAATGCTCAGATACCAGTGAAATATCACAATTCTCAACTACAATTTTGATACTACAGCAAAAACTACTAGCCAAATTGATGAAAATTTAAAACATTAAAGACAAGTAAACTGTCAGTAATAAAATAAGAACAAATAATCCAATTACAAATAGCACAACTAAATACAATATAACAAAGATACAAATGAAATAAACAGTGCTTTTCAGGTAGGTCTAACAGTAGTTTTCAGGTACAGCATTTGAATAAAGTAATCAAATGTAAAATAACACTGCATAGTCTCCACTGTATAAATTAAATAGGCTGTGAGTGATTTCTTTGTCCTTTGTTGTTTGATTAACATTAAAAACACAGCAGCAGGTTTATTAAGCTGCTGTCCCTTTAAGACAGATCAGCGCTTGTTTTCTTGATTTTCTGCAAGTACCATGTTTTTACCATGCCTCAGAGAAAAACACTATTTTGTCAAGTGGCTAACAGCATAATCAGATGCAGCTTTATTTTTAGTAACAGTAAAGCAGCATTTTCTCCGTCATACATATGCATCAGCATGACGTCTGAGGCTGAGACTAGCTAAAACAAAGCATAAGCAGCTACTTGGCTGTTGGAAATGTCTTAAAGGCACAATATGTTTTTCTCCGCTAGAGGTCGCCTATTCAAAACAAAGGCGTAGCTTGATGATGCCTTGACCTGAGGTCAAGCTTTAGGTCAAGCGTATGTGGGGTGATGCAGCGCTGTTTTATAATTTACATTTGTCTGTTGAAAATGATGTTATAACGTTACTCGGCTGCTATGAGACACTTGTTTCAGTAAGCTAGATCGATATTAGAATATCATATTAATAAATGCTGGATGGCTTGTGTTGCTAAATGGCATGCACACTTTAAAACATATTGTATGATGGAGAAAATGCTGCTTTACTGTTACTAAAATTAAAGCTGCATCTGATTATGCTATGTTAGCCACTTGACAAAACAGTGTTTTTCTTAAAAAAAAAAATTACTTGCGGAAAATCATATTTCACATAGGCCTACTTTTGAAAATCCAGCATTTAGTTGATCCTGATAAGCGCTCATTGTCAGTTGGAAACTTGACGGTGGGGGGCGCGCAAGATGGCGGCCCGAGTTGGCAATATTCAAGGCTAGGGACAGATAAATGATTTTCTCACCTTAAACGTTAAATCTGATCAGTGCAAACAACTGGAAATATATATTGCTGTCTTAATAAGAGGACGATTTGGACTCCTTTTCAAGCGTGACTATCTTAGTTGTTTAAAAAAAAAAGATGACAGACAAAAGGCCAAGAGATCAAGGTAAAAAGACAAACAAGACGCTTCATTCACCACTGAGAACAGAGATGTGACTGGATGTTATGGAAGTTGTCAAAGCAGGTGATATGCACACCTACACTAATTCCGACGGAGGAATTGTCCATCTTCCTGAGTCAGCTCCCTGCACTCCAGTTGCAAAGAAAGGTAAAGTTGAACCTACACTCTCCGAACTGCAAGATAACATCGTGAGGCTTGTAGCTGAAAAAATAAAAGAGAACGCGGACAATCTTGCAGGCCTGATAAAGACAAATGTGGACACTATCGAAGCTTTACAGGAATCATCAGAGTTTCTCTTCAGCGAAGTTCAAGACATGAAAACAGAAATAAAAACGGTTAAAATTGCAAGTGATGACCATCAGAAGAGAATTACAGGCCTGGAAGACAGATTGAATGAAATGGAACGCTATCAAAGAAGATGGAACTTGAGGATGGCTTGCCAGAGCAGGAAGGAGAAGACGTTAAACAGCGTGTGATTGACATCTAAAGGCACCCAGACAGCAACATAGTGTCGCCCAGATCCGGCCCACATCTAGTACGCGTGGAATCCACATATACCAGATTTAGCCTGGATCTGGGCCGACACTATGTTGCTGTCTGGGCAGTCATTCAAGACCCTGAACAGGATATCCGCTCCCAAATTGATGTAAGCCGTATATGATCAGGAGGAGAGAGGATGGGAAAACTCGACTGGTGATAACAAGATTTGCATTAAGATCGACCAAAGAAAAGGTTTGGAAATGCGCGAAGAATTCGGAATTCCTCAAAATAAAGAAGTTAATATTTCGGCGAAGATTTGACCACGAAAGACAAAGATACTCGCACTAAACTGTGGCCACAGATTGAAGAGGCGCGGAAGCAAGGGCCTTCTTCGTCGGAGCCAGAGCCATCATTGAGGGTAAAGAAATACAAATGTTTTGAGCTCTGATGCGATCTAAAAGTGAAGTTGCCTATGGATTTTTGTTGAGAAGTTCAGTTGTATTCTAAATACATTTAGTGGTGTGCTGTTATATTTAATGTTACCCTCTTTGTTACATTTAGAACTCAAGGTTTTCTTTTTTCTTTTTAGTTTACTTGTTCTATTGTTCAATTTGTCTTTGTCATTTTATTCACTTAATGTGAGGGGTATACGAGAACAGACTAAGAGTAAAGCTGTATTTTTATTTTGTAAAACTGTCAAGGCAGATTTTTATTTTCTACAAGAAACACAAGCTTCAGATTTTAATTTCTGGAAAAATCATGGGGAGACAATATCTGGATGGCTTATGGAAAGAGTAAATCTGCTGGCGCTGCCATATTAAAGGGCTCCTTTCAGGGAAAAATCCTTAAAAATGTTGTTCATGATTCAGGAAGGTGGGTTATTCTAGTTATTGAATTTATGGAGAATTTTTTTCATTTTGGGTAATATATATGGTCATAATAATAGTCATAGAAACACACACCTTTTTGCAGAATTTGATGAACAAATAAATGTCTTATTGAATTCCTTCATCAACGCTAAATTAATTTTGGGGGGTGACTGGAACTGCATAAGTGACCCCATCAAAGACTGTCAAGCTCAATGATCCTTAGGAAGCAAATATGGAGAGTTTAATAATCTATGTATGCATTTGAACTGTTGTGACTTATGGAGACTTAAAAATTCAAATCCAGTTCACTTGGAATAACAAAAAAATGATCTAAGAGATCCAGGATTGACTTCTGGCTTATTTCAAATGAGTTGCTAGACAATGTGGAAGAAACCAAAATAGAGCCCTCCGTTTTTTCTGATCATAATTTGATTACTTTAGTACTATGTGGGGGTCAATCAATAAAATATAAACCAAATTATTGGAAATTAAATAATACACTTTTGAGTGATAGAATCTTCAAAGAAAAAGCCAAAAAAAATGATAAAAGAAAATTTGATAGAAGCAAAAAAAGACAAAATATATGGCAAACATTGGGAATATACAAAATTTCAGATCCGTAATATGGCCATTGAAAGGGCTAAAGAATTATCTAAGGAAAAAAGAATGAGACAAGATAAAATACTCAAGGGAATAATTTCAATCTATGGAAAAAATGAGCAATCACAAGCTGACATCAATATTTTATTTGAATTACAAGCTGAATTGGACAATATCTATCAAAATTTGGCACAAGGAGCCTTTATTCGTTCTAGGCGAAAATGGATAGCATGGTGAAAGGAATACGAAGTATTATCATAATTTAGAAAAAAGAAATGTTAGTGTTAACAGTATATATAAACTCAAAATGAATGATCAGATCTCTGAAGACCCCTCAAAAAATTCTAATTTTGTGGAAGATTCGCTAGTTAATACCACTAACAAGGCTCAAAATAGCCCCACACTAACACAGTAACATAATGAGGGTCGCTACATGCAAACCGAATCATTGAGAACTTTGTAAGTGTACAGACAGTTTCTCTGTACACAGATACATGCTGTGGTTCGACTGGTCGAGACTGTTTTTCAAAGATGGCTCCTGCCTGTATACGCGAAGTGGACTGTCTTTACAAAATATCTTCTTATTAAACTGTCTGTACACTTACAAAGTTCTCAATGCTTCGTTTTGCATGTAGGGACCCTCATTATACTACTGTGTTAGTGTGGGGCTATTTTGAGCCTTGTTAGTGGTATTAACTAGCGATTTTTATTTTTCATTACTCTATGCCCTATATATTAGCGTTATAAGCTAAACAGTTTTTAGAGATAAAACTCTTTACATTCGGTTATCATGAAAACAAATCTCAGAGAACAGTTGACTAGGTACCAATGTGTTATTAGACCAAAGGTTCATTTTGCGCCGGAGTTCTCCTAAGTGTGCCATATGCATCAGACGTTCAGCCAGCGGTCCGTGGGCATGACGTCTGAGACTGAGACAAGCTAAAACAAAGCATAAGTAGCTAGCTACTTGGCTGTTGGTTAACACTATCCAAGTAGTTTAAAGGGCACTTGACTTGAACAGAGCCGCTCGGCCCCAATTCTGGAGTTTTTTTTTTGCTCCTCAGCTCTTGGCCTCATGGGCTACACTTCAAGATCTCAGCGGCGACAGATCATACAAGTATTGTTCACACTGTTTCATGGATACATGCTGTGTATTTAGGAAGGCTATCTCAAACTTCTGACACTCCTATTTGCATTCTATAGGAATTTTCGGATGTGGCCCCTCCTAAAACTGCAAATCCCGCCTACTCCATAAGAAGAAGAAAAAAACAATCAGAGCCCAAATGCATTTTTCACATTTATTAGTCTTTTCAAAATAACTTGTGCCATTTGGTTGCTGCATGAAAAATGTTATATCAAATAATTTATTTTTATTGATCCCAAGATATCTCCGTACCATTGCAATACTGGATATTAAAAATATATTTACAGTTGTGATATGAGAATACAAAAGTATCTACAATAATACTATATACATTTTTGATAAATCCTTGTAGGCAGGTGTAGGACACTTTGACCACTGGAGGGCGCTAATACTGCAGTTTACATAACTTCCTCTCAGAAGCAGTAGCTTGTTAAAAAAAAGTGTAAATCCCATCTGTACTGATCAAACACCTCAATCCACATTTAAATTCATTATCCATGACCAAAGCAAAATATTAGGAAACAATTTCATACATTATTTTACCATTTAAGTCTTAAAAACTCTAATAAATAGGTCACACATCACATTAAAATACTGGCACTGGCAAAAAACAAGAAAGAAAAAAAAGGAATTAGAAAGATGCCACCTGGAGGAAAAACATCTTCTAAACAATGTGTTGGTATGGGACTTGCCTGCCTGCAAATCTGAGCTTTGTGAACCACACCTGTAATTTCAAATGTTTTCCCCTCATGCGCTCAAGCTCGTCGTGGGCCACAGAGTGAGTGCAGCCTTGAAGCCAGTGTTGCCTGAAGCCCATCCAGTGCATCTGGATCCAGTGCAGTGCTGCAGTCAGAACCCAGCAGCAGCTCCTCAAACTGCTCACAGTCCAGAAGATCGACCATGTTCTGCAGGAAAAAGCCTTCGCAGAACACTGCCAGCCCCACTGCCTCACTCACCTGCTCAACAACACACAGATGACATCAGAAGAATGAACGCTGAAACAATGCATATGCTCAGGTAAGCTGTATGTACATACTTTGGAAGTCTGGTAGACGCTCACAGCGTTGATGAGATTTATTCTCTCTGAGCAGAGGATTTCGCAGTGTCTCTTCAAAACTGGAAGCTGGAATGAGTGTGCCACGGGCAGAAGCTGTACAGGATATGACATAATGCATCTCAGCTTAACTTGACATGTTTTATTCTCGTTTTTAATGTCAAGTCTTTACATTTAATTACAGAAATGTATTTAAACAGGACTGTATTGTATATGTGCTGCATGACATGTTTTTCTTACCTCCAGCAAATCAGACACAGACACGTCTAAACATTCTGTTCCTCCACAGTACAGATGTGCCATCATCATCTGAAATAACCATTTAGAAATCATTTTACATGTCATATGTTTGTCTTGTGTATGTTTAGGCCAAGGTTTATTAGTTACCTGGAACGTGCTGTATTTTATGTCAGTGACTTCAATGGCCATGTGGTCTGTTGTGCCATTGCTCCGGCAGAGGCCCAGCAAGTCTCTGAACCTTAAATGAAATTACAGCATAACAATCACATAACTGATTATAAGGCATGTAACATCTAACATTACCATGTAACATCAGTTTGAGAATTACCTCTGTGAAGCAGACATGAGCAGAACTCTGTGGGCATAAAACGGCCTTCCCTCCACCACAAATATCACATCAGACATCTCAGCGTTATTCAGAAAATGAGCATCTGCGAGGGTGACACAGTACTTATTAATAGTACACAGTACATATATGATATCATATTATTGATGCTGAGCTGCATACAGTGAGATGTTACTGGTACTTGTATTACAGCATGGAAGAGTCCAAAAAGTTTTTTGTTTTTTTTTATAAAGAAATTATACTTATTTAAATATATCAAAAGTGACAGTAACGTGACTTAAATAGTTTGCTTTTTTTATTATTCATCAAAGAATCCTAAAAAAAAAAATTATGGTTTCCACAAAAATATTAAGCAGCACAACTCTTTTCAACATTGATAATAAGAAGAAATCAGCATATTAGAATATTTTCTGAAGGATCATGTGACACTGAAGACTGGAGTAATGATGCTGAAAATACAGCTTTGCCATCACAGGAAAACATTACACTGTTATTGTAATAAAATACAGTTAACTTATAATAATATTTAATAATATTATATTTTTTTCCATAATAGTGTATGATCATATAAATGCAGCCTTGGTGAGCATAAGAGATTTCTTTCAAAAATAAAAATCGGTAAAACTTTAGTTAAGTTTTCTCAATTCTCACTATTAACTAGTTGCTTTTTATCATGCATAAATCTATTCTACATCTCCTAATCCTACCCAATACCTAAACTTAACAACTACCTTACTAACTATTAATAAGCAGTAATTAGGAGTTTATTGAGGCAAAAGTCATAGTTAATAAGTTAGTTAATAGTGAGAATTGGACCCATATCTAAAGTGAGCAAAAAAATCATACCCACCCAAAACTTTTGAACGATAGTGTAGGTGTAAGTAAAGTATGGTGTGTGGTGATCTACATTACCCAGCTGAGCTGTAGGTGTGTCCTTCACTGCCAGAATAGATGGGACGGCTGTAGAGCAAACACAGTGGCTAAAGATGACTGCCAGCTGCTTACGGATGTCCTTACTCTGAATTGAATGAAAAGAACATAAGGACAAACGTAAAAAAGTCTAATTTAAAATACAATATTTCACTTGACTGATAATTCTTGAAATGTAGCATCACACTTTTAACATACATATGATGTTTTGATGATTGTTATGTCAGGGTTACCTTGCTAGTTTTGATAATGGAGAAGAGGAGTGGAAGACCCTCTGAGAGCAGCTCCTCGCAGTATTTTTCTTCCCCAATAGTGGTGAAGTCTTTAAGGAGAGAAAGCATGAGTTCAGTCCTGGACTGGAACTGGGCACTGCGCACGGACTCCAGCCACACATGCAGCTTCCACGGCACTCCTGAGAGAGAACAACAAGCTTGTTCAAACTCTTTAAACATTGAACATCTGTTTACTCATTCTAAATGTGTTTATACACTAACCGTTCGTTAGTTTGGGGTCTGTATGTCTTTATGTTTTTGAAAGACGTCTCTTATGCTCACCAAGACTGCATTTATTTGATCAACAATACAGTAAAAACAGTAATATTTCATATTTTAAACACCAGTGTAGAGCTGCAGGCCATACAATTTAATTTATTTAATTTCACTAGGCAGAATCATCAAACATTTTAAATAGATTGCAGCAATTAACATTTGTCAGAACCTCTAGTAAATGAAATGTCATTTTGTTTAGTGTGTCTATTCAGAATCGTTGGAGAATCGTGATCTCTGTTTGAAACCAAAAAATTGTGATTCTCAATTTATCCAGAATCATGCAGATCTTACTGAATAAAAGTAGTAATTTCTTTAAAAAATTAATGAATTAATAAAACAAACAAAAAAACTAGTAGTGTTTATATCAGGGGTTGAGAAAACATGATTCTACTTAAGTAAAATCACAAATATTACTTTTAAAACTACTGGTGTGGTACTTCTGCTATAATGGTGACAAAGCTGCTTGTTTTGGTTATCTTAAAATATGCTGAGGCCCCCTGGTGGGCCCCGGCCCTATGAGTGCCTAGAAAATTGCAGGTTAATCTAACCAATGGTTGCTGCATGCCAAAAATCTCTCACTGTTTATGCATCTCTAATTCAATCTGTTGTCCATTTTCTTTGATTTATTGTAAATGAGTCAGATGTGTACCCAGTGCCCTGAGCTCCATGGTGACGTCCAGGTATCCGTGCTCAGCGCTGTGCAGACTGGCTTCCTGCAGGGCTCTGATGCGGGCCTTACACAGCCGCGGAGAACAGACAGACTTTGCTTTTGCTCCGTCCTCTATTCCCTGCTTCTCCTGCTCCTCTACTCCCTCTGCCAGGATCTCCTCCAGAGAAAGAACGTCCTCCTGCAGCCGCTGAGGCTGACTCAACAGCTTCCTCAACACGTTCCTAGGGGGAAATACAATATTCAATACATACGTTTTTATTGAAATCGCACCACTGATCTTGATCAGTGTGTGTGTTTGTGAGGGGTCAGTACCTGTGTCCATGCGCTGCAGCATGACTGAAGCAGTTCATGCCCTCATAGAGTGATGATGTCAGATGCACCCGCAGCATGGGGTCAGCGCCGCGGGACAACAGCAAACTCACCATCTCATAGTTCCCTGAAAACGTGCACACACACACACACACAATTAAAACTGTTTCTAATTAAGCATGACGAGGTTAGTAAGATTTTAAAATGTTTTTGAATAAAGACTCTAATGCTGATTTCTCAAAAACACAGAAAAAGCAGTTATATTGTGAAATATTATCACAATTGAAAAGAACTTTTCTGTTTTAATATATTTAAAAATGTAATTTATTCATGTGATGACAGAACTGAATTTTCAGCAGTCTTCAGTCTTACATGATCCTTCAGAGATTATTTTAATATGCCGATTTACTGCTCAAGAAACATTTCTTTGTATTATCAATGTTGAATACAGTTGTGCTGCTAAATATTTTTGTAACAACTGTAATTTATTTTTTTCAGGATTATTTGATGTATATATATATATATATATATAAAGTTCATTAGAACTGCAATAATTTGAAATAGAAATATTTTGTAATACTATAAAAGCGTTAATTTCCTTCAAAAACTGATCATAAGCTTTTGAATAGTAGTAGTATTATTTACACTACAAATAGCTTCTGCTATAGTTTTCCTTATTGGGAGTACATTCAAACATAACTCTTTAAAAGAAAACATGATAAGGATGACTTTGCGCTGATTTCTCCCACCTGCGGCAGATGCCAGCTGGAGGGGTGTTTCTGCTGAGCTGTGGTGGCTATTTCTCAGGGCTGTGCCCTCCACATCTGCTCCCACATCTAACAAGAGCTGGAAGTGCAAACAAAGTACATTTAACATGATAGCCCTCCAATGTTAACATATACTATTTTCTAGTATACTATAGATCTGAACATAAAACATGCCTTCTTTTGTAAGTCATTTTTAAAATGTACATTAATAACATACACTATTATTAAATGACTACATACAGTAACAGGATTGTACATGTAACTAGTGTGCATGTTCACCTGTACTACAGATATGTGTCCATGCAGCACTGCAAAGGTGAGGGCCACCCAACTGCGGCTCTCAGGATGGACAGAGGGATGTTTTGATGAACAGTTGGGCACCTGAAAAGAAGAAAAAGTGTGTGTGTGAGAGAGAGAGAGAGAGAGAGAGTATTATGTATTGGTAAACAACCAAAATTCTACTGCATACGTGTGAGTTCACAGAGTGTTACATTACTGCAAACCAACCATCCATTCAAGAAAGTTAACCTGAAATGAGCCCACCTGTAACATATAGATCAAGGGTGTTCAATCTTGCTTGTTCCTGAAGGGCCAATATCTTAAAGAGTTTAGCTTCAATCCTAATTAAACTATAGTAATCAGAGCCTTCAGGATTAATACACACTTCCAGGCAAGTGTGTTGGGGAAGGACATTGGCCTTCTGGGAGCAGGAATGGATGGCCCGTTATAGATACATCAACACTATCTCACGACCAATTCGTACGAGTGAGTAAAAGGTGGCTAATTCGTACGACCTCACTCGTACGAATTCGTACCATTTGTCTAAACCCCAGTGATGGGTAGGTTTAGGGTCGGTAGGTCATTCATACAAATTGGGCAACTCGTAAAATATGTACGATTTAGCAAAAATCGTATGAGTGAGGTCGTATGAATTTGTACGCATTAGCCTCCTCGTAAACTTCGTATGAATTGCCGTGAGATCGGATTGGATACATGGGTAAAAAAGATTTAATGCGACTGAACGTGCATTGTGTCATTACCGCTATATCCAAGTTTGCCCCAGCATCAATGAGCATGTGTACCAGCGCCTCATCCCCTGCTGAACAGGCGTACATCAGTGGAGTCATGCCCTACATACCCACACAGAAAGAGTTAAACATAAAAAAACATGGAGTCAAGTATACGGCTTTCCAACCTGGGGGAAAAAAAAAAGAAATTCAGAAGTTTAGTCTTTATGGGTTCACCTGGTCATCCATTGTGTTCACCCCATCTGGGCCCAGAAGCTGGATAGCTTGGCCAATCAGATCAGTGCGGCCAGAGTTGAGCATGCGAAAGCCAAGATCCAGATTAAACTTGTCTGTGGCAGCCTTTGAATCTAGACGTTTAAAGGAGGTGAAACAGCACTCTGGCCTGAGAAAAAGAAGGAGAGAGTGTGAATTTGGAGCTAATTACATTAAAAGTAACATTACATACAAAAAAAATAGAGAGCCAAAGTACAAAGTTAACTGGGTAAATACAGATAATTAAACATGTTTGCTGCGGTATGTGTATATATTAAACCCTTCACCTTAATTTTGCCAGCACTACTGTATGCTCTTACATTTAAGCAACAGGAACATCTTACTTGAGCTGTCGAGGTTCACAGTCCAGTCCAGGGAGAAGCTGTCGGGCAGTCTGTCTCACATCATCACTGTCCACTAACAGGCTCCGTCGATGCTCCGCATGGACCATAGCGACTCGCATCCACTCCATCAGAGGAGGAAGAAGAGGAAATGGCCTGAGAGAGACATGGCATTACTCAGTTATTTACCAACATCTGTCACTTCACCCCTCTGTCTTTCTCCTTTCCAAAATGCACACACACACACAAACACGCTTAAACCCAGCAACTTTTAGGGGAGATCAACAGTGGCACAAAACTGTATCAGAGAGAAAAGGACAGTGTAATTACAAATGCTGCTGATTTGGCTCGCCACAGCCTCTTTCAATCCTGTCATTTATTACCACAAACAAGCCTTAATCACAATCTGAATAACAACATCTGCCATCTTCAACAGACACAGTCTCGCTGCAATTCAAATCAGTGTGATATTACAGAACAAATCCTCTATGGTTTCCTTCTTCTAGTATCTGTGCCAGGAGTGCTGTGATTCTGAAGCATGCTCACAACCATAACTGTCCACCTGCTAAACACATTAGTATTCATTATCTGACGTGAATGCAGAGCAAGGTTTCCACACAGAGTGAAGCCACTCATCTTACTAGAACAGACCTGAAGGTGAAATTCTAAGTATGTCTATAATCTATAGGGAAAAAGCTAATTTCAAAGAAAATATAAATACTGATAGAAAACCAGAAGAGGAATGGACAAATGAGTCTACAAGAAATGCACTTAAAATAGTCAAGGACGGCTAATTCATTATGCTTGCATAGAAATCTAATATACACTACCTTTCAAAGGTTTGGGGTCAATAAGTTTTTTTTTATGTTTTTGAAAGAAATGCTCAAAGCTGCATAAAACATACAGTAAAAATAGTAATAATGTGAAATGTTATTGTTTTTTTAATAATAATTGATATTTTTTAATATATATACTGTATATTACATTTTTATTTAAAATGTAATCCTGTGATGGTAAAGTAATGGTACCTCTGTCTCCTGACTTTGGCTCTTTATGAGCCTTAAACAGGTAAAAGTGGTTTTGGCTCATTGATCTCACCTCTCTTTACTGAGGGCTATTCTGGGTGGCTCAAGGTTGGGGTTCTCCAGTGACTCCATCTGTGGACTGCGTAGGTAGTAATAGAGTGTGTGAAGGGCGTCTGGAGACCAGGAGATGGGCTGCAGGCAGAAAGGACGTCCTGGACTGAGACTGGGACTTGCTGAAACCAAACGCTGCATATGGTGCATTGCACGGGAGACCAAGTCACCTGCAGGACACACACATACATTTGAACTTCAAGCACAAATTCTGTGAAAAGTTTCATATTGTCAAATAGTATCTTAGTATGCAGAAAAAATAAATGCCTTTCAAATGGACCCTGCAATAAATTCCTTAAGATCTGAAAGCAGACTTGCACCAAAATCATAATGCGCTGCTGATGTAGAAAAGCCATCTGTGTTTCCAGTTCAACCCCATAAACTAAAGACAGTTGCTGTGCAGCCAAGTGCAAATATGTCTTCTTTTCTTAAAAAAGTGCTGACAACACACAACAGAAAGCATATTTCAATATAGCAAAATATATCTTCAGACCCATCTGTTTAATGTCCAAATGTGGAAATGGAAGAGGATTCGGATAAACTCAAACGTCTAGGAGCTTTATCCTAAATGACTCTGAGGGACATCAAATCTGCTCTTTTTGCCTCCCAATGCAGAAACACAGACTCAAGCTGCTCCCCAAAGGAGGAGAAGATATGATGAGGACAGACACACTCCTTAAAGTCTGTGTTGACCATTAGACAGACCAGCTTACAGTAAAGTCAGGGGACACTGACATCCATATGTGTAAAGCATCTGTTAGGAAAGAGATGAGACTGAGAGAATACAGCAACAGCGGAGATGCATTATTTTATCCTTGACTGGAAATACTGCTTTTGTACTTAACTATAGGTGGCTAATCTTTAAACAACAGCTAATATGTGAAAGAAATAGACATAATGATCAAGAGGGGTATGGGAAACAATCTAAGCAATCAATCACATTTGGTCTATAAACACTTGTGCACATTAGTTGTTAAACAAAGGGCGCTTTACGATTGCTTGAGTGTCTGCAATCATAAAGCATAAAGAAGGTGCTTTTTACTCCTTTGACCCAAACAGAAGGTGCTCTTGTACCAGCAAAACAACTGCAGGAGTGTTGCTGGTCCCCTAAGGGAGAGCGTGTTTCCCTCTCTGGTGAATGCGGACCCCCTCCCTCATCCTGAACTGCGGTCTGCAACGTAAACAAACTGCCCACAGTTCAGGCGCTCAAACCCCCCCAGGCGGGCCTGCAATGTTGAGTTGTCAGAAGAGCGGCACTTAAAATGTACAGATGTCTCTCTCTGTCTTACAGACATGTAAAAACAATCATGCAAAAATAGCATTTCACTGGACAGTAATAGACTGAGATGAAAAATGGACAACGACGGTGTTTCTACATTAAAGTTTTAACAAGTGCCTTTTGGGTGACCTAATTCTTAAAGAGAACTGCAGTCTTTTACTAGGCTGAGAAAAGCTATTCTTCTTGGTTAGTTCACCCAAAAATGAAAATTCTGTCATAATTTTTCTACCCTCACCATCTTCTGAACACAAATGAAGATATTTTTAATATTATTCAATCCATTTTGTCCATCCGTTGACAGCCCACGCAACCAAATCTTAGTATCGTAAAACCAACCAAAACTAAAAACATATCGTAAAAGTCATCCATTTGAATCAATCAAGTGGTTTAATCCGAGTCTTCTGAAGAGACGCAATCACTTTATATGATGAAAAAATATAATTAAGGCTTGAACCACTCAATTTATATGGATTTCATTTACAGTGTTTTTATTAACTTTTTGAAGCATCAATGTTTTGTTTGCTTATAGGCTTTCAGAAATCTCTTAGGTTTCAATAAAAAATATCAATAATTGGGTTTCAAAGATGAACGAAAGTCTTATACATAAATGATGACCGAACTTTCATTTTTGAGGGAGAATTATCCTATTTTAATTATTTATTGAGAAAAAAAAAAATCAAGAAAGATTTATATTATTGCTTATAATTTCATCATGATAAAAGTGCATTTTAACACGAAGTGCAAAAAGTGTAGTGGAATACACAAATGAATTATTTTATTAAGCCAGTTATTCTTAGTGAACCTAAAACATACTGTAGAGGCAAATGGTTTAGTAAAATACATGAATGAATGGATATTAACCGGTTATATTTAGTGAATCAAAATCACTTCAAATAAATGAGTCTTTAAAAGTTCTAAAAGAACCATTCCTCGAACCGCTGAGTTACCAGATTAGCTTTAGGATCAGACTGAGAACCACAACTGTTAAATTTCTAATGATTTTTATACCTAGTCATATGACAACAATGTAGCATGTATATATATATATATATATTTTTTTTAACTAATAATACACAGTACACTGTCACAGTCCATCAAAAGAACTGAATATGAAGTGAAGGGATTGTAACTTACTGAGTTCCGAGAGGCTGCCCACACAGGTGGCCAGCAGGGCCTGCTCCAGCGTCCTGAGCTCCAGCTGTGCGTAGGCATTCTCTCTGCTCTCCACCGCTGAGTCTGGACCCTTAGCATACGGACTGAAATGGGCAGGCAGAGACAGCTCACCTACACATAAACAGATTCAATGAGATCATCAGAACTCGCAACAACATTGAACAATTCATTAGTATTTGATTCCTTTATCGTATGTGTCTCTAAACATGAATTAATTGCGTCAGTCTTGTACAACTCTCAATTATGGGGGGATGGGGGGAGACAGACTGCCAAGGGAAAGCCAATCGTTTTCATATACAGTATGTGTCTCTGACAGAGATAAGAAGAGGAAGTGTGGTAAGTCATCATTTCCTCTGCTCGGAACATAGCTATTTCTCCTTTCTTTAGTCGTTTGTTCCTCGCTAAATTATTCATGCTGTCTTATTGCTTTTCTAAATGTCTCTAAGTGTTCATTCTATTCCTGTAGATTTTTTTTTCTGATGAATTATTAATTATAATTTACAATAATTGGTGGCATGATGTTTCAGCCAAATCTAAAGCCTGGAGCACAGTGCACCACTGTACGATTTTGGCCACAATTTGGCCATCTGAGACAAATTTTGAGAAATCTAAATATTTCTCAGACCCTAGGCAAAAATATGTAGTCTTTGATTAATAGTTTGACATGTTCGCCGACACCAGATTAATGATCAAATTTGACCTCTGATGAAATTCTGCCAGTGATAGTTTTTAGGCACTGTTCTGCAGTGTGGCTTCTCCTACTACGACCATAATATCAAAAACCATAAGGAGCACACAACCCGATGACGGCATTAGAGCAACAACAACAAACCACCACTAGATTCAAACACATCGTCTCCATTTTTTCTGAGATCATACAGTGTGACGTGGCTTACAGCTGTGATCAGGTTCGTACAGTCTGACAAGAAACAATCTGAAAGCAAATACTATTATAAATCATGCAGTGTCCAGCTGATTTAACACTGGCACATTGGCCGTCATCCTGAATACCATATATGGCTCCCAACAGAAGGGTGATATATTTCTTCTCACCACAGCATAAGTATAGCTTATATAGATTATCAGTCCCTACAGAGTTATCTTTTTTTTCTTTCTTAAATGCAGAGTTGATACATTTCCAATGTTTCAGAAACAAAGTGCAAGTTGATAGTCAGTAAAACTAATGAGCGGATCATATGTTTGGCAGCTGATTTATCAAACTCAAATACAGGATATGTGCTTGCTTGGCTTTTGATTTGATTTGAAATCCATGCCTTACCCCTGGATCTCTCTTTCACTGGGTATCAGAAAGGGATCAAATGAGGGATTTGTACGTGGATTTGGTTTCTTCTTCAAGCTAAACGATAAACCATTCGTGAGGTACAGTATACACATTCATCTGTGCCACGATGTCTCAAAATATCTCTCCAGATGTTGAATTCCTGATCTATTTGAGCTATTTTTATAACATTGCTCTTAAATAGTATTTATCTTACAGCTATTTGGTTGAACAAACTCATTGTATAGCCACTCAATGTGCAGTTGAGTGAACCATGGCCTCGCTTGACCACTGCCAATGTTTTGTTTATGCTACAGCAGCAGATTCTCAGCTTAGTGTGCTACCACTGCCCACTGAACACAAAAGAGTGATCTTCAGAGCAGAGCATAGCAGTTTTTTTGTCTGAATGATATTCAAAGATATACTGTGGATCTCATGAACAGAATCTGCATATTTATGCATTTAATAATTGTATAATTAAATACCATCAAGTGTTAAAATAAAAAAACAGAACTGTGTGGGTGGCATATATGTCACTGTTTCCAAATAATAATTATGCTGCACAACGTTTTCAACATTGATGATAATGCTAAATGTTTCTTCAGCACCAAATCAGCATATGATGATTTTGAAGGTTCATATGACACAGGCTTTGCCATAACAGAAATAAACATTTTAATATTTGATTGCTATATGATATGATATATGATTGCTATATGATATGATATATGATATATGATGCATTTTGGAATGTAAACTCCTCCAAACCTATTGTTGGATTCTGTACCTTTTGGCTCAATTTGCTTGTTTTTAAATGCAATGTATTATGTACTCTCATACAGGGCTTTCTTAAGACTGTTTGTTTAACTAGTAGACTGTTTGTTCACCGACTAGCAGATGTGGAAATATGAAATATGTTTTTGCACATACTGTAATAGTCAGAATATAACTCTGTCTATAACCACATACACATGCCCCCTGAACTGAGGCAGTTTGGTCTAGTTAAGGTCATTTTACATGTGCTACAGATCATAGTTATTAGTTAATATAGTGCAGCTGAAAATACAGAAATATGTCTTTATGGAGACCCCAAATCTAAAGCAGGTCTGCATGTGTAGGAGCTGCGTAGCTGTCTGGCCTGGCCTCTACTGCCAAATGGGTTTGTATATGGGTACGGGTGAGCCACAGGGTGTGTGTTGCAGCTGGTCAGGCTGTGGACCCACAGACCCAAACCCCTCTATCCAGAACACACCCATTCCCTTTCCCACAGCTGGCCGTGTCTATACTGGCAGCCTTGAGGCTATGACATGCGTCATAGGCAGCCCCACGCTCCCACAGACACATATACGCACACATACACTCTCATCTGCTACCATCATTGTGGACTGAGGAAGAGGGGAATGTGTGTGCACTGCCATTATGTGGAGAGAAATTGAGCTCACACACACCACTGATGGGAGACTGGGAGATCCATACGAGTGTGATAGGCCTGACCAGGAGTTACACTGCCAATGAAAGAGAGAAGGAGAGAGAGAAGCCAGGAAGAGACATGGTTATGGGGTTATGTGGCAGCAAACACACTTAAAATGAGATGAGCAGCAACATTTACTGAAGTGATTCCAATCTTGACCTCTACTAATGTGTTCATGTGTATACTGTAGAAATCCATCATAAAACCCGAAAGATTTCAGCTAAATAATAAGGCATCTTCTTTTAAAACTCTATCAGACACATCTAATATTTTTAGTTTTATGACTAATATTATAGTTTTATGACTGAAAATGCATTATGTTGTGAAACAAAAAGCTTGTTGTCAGGGTGCCAGACTGTTAAGGGCTTCCGCTGGAAACAGATGCGTATGACAAAAACACTGAGGTCTGAGTAACAGAGAACTGTTTTGATTTTGTTTTTTAATCTTTTAAGATCTAAGAGATTTTAAAAAAAGAGCACACAATGATATAAACCCAATAAATCAACAATTACAGTATTTTATATAATGTCCAATTACCAATAAATGACCACATTTTAAATGTATGCTTTGCAGTATTTTGTCGAAATAAAATCAAAATCAAATCAAAAGGTAACATTTTTCAATTAAGGTTAAATTAGTAAACATTAGTTTCATTAGTTACAACTACATTAGTTAACATTAAACTAAAAATGGAAATACTTCTAAAGCATTTAATACTCTTAGTTGTTAATTTCAACATTTACTAATACATTATTGAAATCAAAAGTTGTATCTGTTAATATTATTTAAAACATGAGCTAACATGAACTAACAATGAACATTTGTATTATTATTAATTAACGTTATCAAAGGTTAATAAATACTGTAAGTCCTACCAATAGTTCATCATAGCATTATAATTTATGGTAATTCATTTTGAGTTTGCTTAAGCGTTTCTTTGTGTTATATGATGAAAATTTTAAATAAAAACAGTTGGAAATGAGCATGCATTAAATCCAATCCAAACATAAATCCAATATTGACTAATACAAATAAATTAAATAAATCTTTAACATCATCCATAGTTACTTGAAAGTACAATTTGCTTTAGTCCATTGCTCTGAAATGTGTTAAAATGACAATAAACCTGGCTTTGATAACATTCAGACTGTTCTATATTAAGAACTAATATCCATTTGTTTAAGAACTGGTTAGTTCTTTAGTTCAGAAGTGTTCGTCACCAGAGAACAAATCCCTTTAGAAAGTGCTGAAAGAAACCTTTCAATTGCAAACCCAAATGCAACCACACTAATTTACTTAAATACGAGTGATCAACTTATTTTCCTTGCCTGATTTTGCCCAGGTAATATGGTGTGAACACAGTGGTCCAGTCACACGCTACCACAACACCACCATTCTACACAGGGCACAATGGCACAAGTGTGCTGAAGAGCCAGAGTCAATCAGCCCTTGTGTAACTAGGTGCTGTGCTGGAAGTGCCTGTAGATTGAGGACATGGAGCGTTGACTGCTATCTCTAAGCGGTAAAAGGGGAGGTGCCTTGTTAGTTGTGTGTGACTGCGCACACGGACCATTTCTGCCAAGATTTCCCCTCTCCAGAGGGCAGACCATAGATAATAACAACAACTTCCTGCATCCAGCTCCTTATTTAAGACACAGCCCCCACTCAATGGAAGAGCTTTGGGTTTACAATTCCAGTCAACAGGGAAATACCGTACAAGGTCAAAAGATTTACTTCTTAAACTTGGCCAACTTGTATATGCTGTTTTACTTCTAAAATCACCTAATAAAAGAGTTTGTAAGTAATAAATCCAATATATTTTCAGCATCGTGACATTTTTATTGTAATATTTAATTTAATGTTTATTTCAATTTTAAATGTATGACATATCCAATAAAACAAGAATAAACTTAGCAATATAATTGAAACGGTGGGCTGCTCATAAAGCAGATGGCTTTTCTACTGTGTCAATTGCAACCTAAATGCAACAAAACCTTCTAGGAGAACCTCCTGGAGTTTAACCGTCTTCATAATGATAAACATTATGCAGATCTTGGCAAGGGGTTACTACTCCAGGTGTTTACATACTCAAATGCAATAGGGATAACATGCATCTCACTGCAACATCCCTTATTCAAGTCAGCTTCGAGGAATATAGGGTGATTCTACAATTAGGGGCAATTTTGACTACTTGAAATCTTGAAATTTTTTACAGATGCAATTATTATAAAACATTTGAAAGATTGTACTGAATTGAAAATATAACATTTGTGAAACATAGACATTTCCTGATTCAACACATTTAGTAAATGCATTACAGATTCGGGTATGATTCTCGCTTGGGGTGCGAGAGGTCCTGGG